CCTAAGAGAGACAAAAAAGGTGATAATATCCAACTTACTTCGCGAATTTCAGCCAACTTCTTGGTTTCTTCCTCAGCACGGCCTAACTGAGCCTGGACTCTATCTCTGATCTCAGTTTTCTTCCTCTCGATTTCTTCTTCCTTAGCACGGAATGCTGCAAGAGCTGATCTCGTCATCTCCTCTTCTTTTTCATCACTCAGTAAAGGACTTGCAGTATAATTGATCAATCCCGAGTTCTTCAATCGCAACATTTGCGCTTCTTGCTGCTCCAAAGTTTGTTTATGTATCGACATAATCCTTTGTTCAAAGATAGCCTTCAGTCTTGTTTCCCTTTTATGTTCAAAATGATGCTTCTCTTTTCCCTGTTACAGATGCTTAACAAGACGAACTGGCTTTAAAGGTATGAAACCATGTTACTTTTCTAAAACAAATCTTGCAATGAGGGTAATGACCCTAGTGACCTTATAAATAAATTTCTTTTTATTAGTATATTTTCATTTTCTGGTGAAGCAACTGTTTTCTTGAGTAGGTACATTGGCAGATTTGCTAACCACTGCACTCTTAAAACTGGAATACTATATATTCTCCAGCATTGACATTCACAAATATGAAAATCTGAAATCCATATAATATTTTTTGGAAATATTGCAGTTCTCATTCTCACCCTTTAGCCCATTTACATGTTAAGTGTACATTTATTTAGCCCATGTTTGGTCCGAATTAAAATTTGATTTTAATCCAAGTCAAAGTCAAACAATCAATATTAACCACATCTTTTATGGGTCCCACAACTTTTCAACCACACATTTTAAAAACTTCCATCACAATCTACTAAAAATCTAATTTTAATCCCCTATCAAACACTCTCTTATTTATTTTTCATTTTTGACAGCATTCTCTCCGACCTTTATTTCGTGACCATGTCGTCACTTTTACCTGCCGTGGTCCCCAATGATGGTTTCCGTCCAATAATTCTACAAGAATTTTCTGAGACGTTATCTTACACTAGATTTCTCTAAAAGCTTTTCTAATTAGATAAAGTAATAATGTCATAAAATTATTCGAACATATTCAAAAAGTAACTTCAGAATCTCAGAAGTACCCTTCTCAAAAGTCTTGACAAACAGACCGTTTATATCCACAACAATTTGTGAGTGACCAATATTGCATATAAAATTTGTTGGAAGGTCTCAATTGACAGAGTCTATTTTATTCTTGAGCTGGAAGGTTCCCTTCCATGTGTAGACAATCAGAGCTCACCTACATTGAATTAAATCAAAAGCCTTAAGGGCCAAGACATGGTAGGAAACACAAATGAAAATTGCTAGCTGCCTTTATCAGCTATCATTGTTCTTCATGCTTACACTTGTTCAAGAATCTTTAGCATTTTTTTTTATTATTATTTTTGCATCTTTTGCTTTTATTTATTTATTTGTATTTTCGTTTTGATTGCTAGAGATCTTGTCACTGAAGTTTTTCCTGTAATCAAACGAAGGTGCCAAAAAATTAATAGTAAAAAACATTTATTGCTTTTTCATTTGAAAGGATCGTGAAACTTACACGTCAAAGCCAATTTAAAAATTGAAGGCAAATGTTTTTGAATGTGAATCTTTTCGATAATGTACCCTTGAGACATTTTCTTGCGTAAAGGAGATATTAAATAATGTACCCTTGAGACATTTTCTTGCGTAAAGAAGATATTAAGTTATAATAATGCAATTCAAATGTATAATTTATCATCATTTTTGGGCCCTACCATGATTTTGTAAGTTCAAAATCAAATATTTCCTTGCACAATCACAGTGTTTTCTAAACTCGTCACAGTTGTTCGGATATAGTTAGACTGGCACGACATGTAAACGGGTCACGGGGACTGAGGCACGACAAATTTTTATTTTTTTGATTTGTGAACGCGTTTTTAGATAAATTCTAAAAGTATTTAAAAAAAAAAAAAATTGGAGTGCCCCTGTTCATTGTCGAGTTTAGTATGCGATCACGATTTAGAATGTTGATTGGTATAATTAAACTTCACCAATGATTTTTGTAGATGTTTAATGGTATTGGTATGTTCCAATTTTCCCCACACCTTGGTGAGAGCATTTAGTTACGTGGGCCTTCCCTCTTCTTGGGCCCAAAGCTTTATTCCTTCTTTTGTCTTGACTCTAATGCAGGGTTTTCAACCCACCTTTGTTATTGGGCTTTCTTTTGTGGTTCTCACTCAAGCCTTCCTGGCCCATATTATTGGGCCTTAGTTGGGCTTAAACGGGTGCTTAGTAAACTTGATTTTGACCTCTTAAGCCCAATGAAGTGACCAATTTCTAAATGAGGAAATTACACCTACACCTGATTTTAAAATACAATTTTCATAAATAAGGTATCAAATTTCATTTTACAAAAATCAGGTATTCATTTAATTATTATAAATTAATATTTTAATATTGATAACAATATAAATTAATTTATATACCCCCATCCAAACCCTAAAATCAATTTTTCTCTTATTACAAACCCTAATCTCTCTCTCCCTCCCTCCCTCGTGCCAGTGCAACATCACTGTGAGCAAGCATAGCGATCTGGCATCACAACGACGGCCGACGGGCACCACATGAAGCAGCGTTAAGATCTGGCACCGCAACGACGATTGTCTATTGTACGGCAATCAGGGAGCAACACTGTAGCGATGCTCAGATCTAACGCTGCAGTGACGAGCACTACATTGTAGCAGTGATTACAGTGTCATTGTATGGTACTTGGGTTACTGCGACAATGAAGCGTGCTGTGATTTTTGGGGATGGTTTCTTCTTATTTCGATCTGTTGTTTAGCCGGTGATTTGGGGGTGATTTTTATTGGTTCTTGATGGTGTTTTGCAAATGGGGGCGCAGGTGGTGTTGGTGGTGGCAATGCTTGTTGTGATGGTGATGGTGATGTGGTCCTGGTTATTGTGGCTCACAAATTGTGAGAGTGGCTCGACATTCTATTGGTGGTGTGGTGGTCCGATTTTTTAGTGGTGTTTGTGTGGTGGTTATGGTGATGTTGACGGGTTTGGTGTAGTGGTGCTGGTTGGCTACGATGTTTAAAACGGTGATTTTGTTGATGGGAAGTGGTTACGATGGTTGTGTTGTTGGCGGCAGTGGTGCGTTTTTGTGGTGTTGGTGACGGTTGTGCATTTCTATGGTGGTGGTGGTGTTAGTGTTGGCAACGGAGATGACGGTGGTGTTGTGTTGGTGGTGGTTACAAATGATTTGTTGATTGTGACCAATAAATTGTTTGGTGTGTGATCAATGGAGAATAAATTGCGACCAATAAATATTGCGCGACCTACAAATTTATTAATTTGTGATCTATAATTTAATATTTCGTGACCATAAAATAAGTTGTGTGACTTATAAATTTTATAATTTGTAACCGATGAACAAATTGTGATTTTTAGATTTTTAATTTGTGATCGATGAACAAACTGTGACCTATAAAATTTTTGAATTGTAACCTTAAAATTTTTGAATTGTGACCAAATTGCATAGTTATGTGACTTTTATATATTTATTAATAAAATATATAATTGAATAATTAATTCATAAATAAATTTTAATGAAAACAATCATCTATCCTTAGCCCTTATTTGGTGCACATTTTTGAAAAAAGAATGTATTTTTATTGTTGATGTGATGAGAAATGTGTGGTTGAAAAAGAAGGAAAAATTATTGATGTGATGAAAAATATTATTTTATTAAAAAATGTGTAGTTAAAAATGAGTAGAAGAAAGAGAATGAAAAAAATAACATGATTCAAACGGGGCTTAATTTTGAAATCGTCATGCTTAAAACCAGGATTCTTTTTCCTTTTCTCGCTCGCATAAACACAGTTAATCTATGCCACTGACGACAAATAATCGTATCACGTTGAAATCTTAGGAAAAGAACTGAAAAAGTACAATGGCATCTTCAACCCCAAAAAGGTGCGACGTTATTGCTGATCAAATATCAAAATCTTATTGCTTAAAAAAATATGAATGGTGTTTTGGGTTAATTTCCACTGAATATTTCAGTGTTATAGGTTTAGGATTTTAATGCTTCAGTTCGGTATTTTATGTTCAATGATTATTATGTAGTGCTATAGTTATGAGACTTCTTCAATTTATATGTACAATCTGTTAAGAAGAGAAAGGTGTATTAAATTCTGTTGTTGATTTAGTGGAATGACGAGAGAAAGGAGGTACCTTTTGGATGGTCAAGTTCGATCACCATCGCCTCAGCATTGAACACCAAGGTAACGGGATTTCTCACCGACCCAGCTCCAGGAGTATTCATACCGTCGCAGTGACATGGATGATTTACTTGAGAGTGAGACCGATGTTCTGGAGTCTGAGAGGTCCAGGAGAACGGAGAGGAGGGATCATTTTGATAGAGATCTTTATTTACGGGCTGCAAGATTCTCAGATTATCATGATAGAGATAGAGAAAGGGATAGAGAGAGTGATAACTATAGGTACAAGGATGGTGTTGGTCATTCTCGGAGATTGTATGGAGAGGACTCTGCTTTGATGAAGTTTCAGCAGGACTACTATTTAGACTATCCTCGAAACGCTGATGGCTTCAATGTGAAAGATTATGTGAATGACTACCGTGGTGTTAGTGATACTAATATCACAAGAGTGAGCGGTGAGAGAGATTATTATCCAGAGAGTCAATATTTGGATGAGGGTAGATCTGGATTGCCTGCAGGGTTACGTTATTTGAGGGGTAGCAAGCCCAGTCCCCTGGAAACTGAGAGGATGCAGGGCAGGTGCACCGATTCATATATTTTGGGTCGTGGTAGTGTCGACAGTCACCTAAAAGTTTAGGTGGCTATGACATTGGTGCTTGCCATGCGCCATCTTTGGCATTGCAGTATTTGAGTACTAATACTCGTAAAGATGGTGGCTTTCAGTCTGTAAACGAGCTTCATTTGGCCAAAAAAGGTATAGACATCATTATGGACAACTGTTAATTGGATAAAAAAGATGGGACATTTTCGTCCTGGAGATGAGCTTAATCTGGATGAGTTCGTCGGCCCAATTTATAGAGAAACGTACAAGTACAACTGGGAAGACAAGCTCCTGTCTTTAAGAGGTTATTTGAGTGGCCATGTTGATCATACAATGCCATCGTCTCGGAACAGGGATTATGCCAGGGAGTCACCTGGTTTCTCCTATAGGGAAGAACTACGTGTGCCATCAAATGGTACAAGACTGATGACTGGAATGACTTCCGAGACTATTGGTTGTGATGGGGGGTCTGGTGAAAATTCACAAAACAGATCTCACATTACTTCACCAGATATCACGAGTTACTCAAGGTCCTATTTTGGTTTGCTAAAGGAGAGGCGTGGAGCTCATTTTTATCCAGAATTTGGTACAAGGGACGTGGGCTTTCGAGTAGAAGGTCCAGTGAATTACCATATGGAAATTTTTTGACAGATGTTAAAGATTACAGAAGACGCGATACTTCAAGAACTGACTTTATGGATCCCATAGATGTAATTGATGAATCTAGAACATGTATAAATGATGTTGGACTTCGAAATCACAATTCTTCTTCACGAGGACAGTTGCCACATAATAATTCTGATACGCATGGATCCTCGTATGCAAGAAAGCAAGATGTTGAAGTATCAGGTTATGGTAGTACGTGCCTGAGTTACGATAGGGAATTATATCATAATTATGGAAGAATTGAACCACAAGTGCGTCATAGTAATGAGATGGATGGTGGCACATGGACTCGTGAAGAAATATCAGATGTGTTGCGACTGAAAGAATATGACCCTTTCTTTGACCGAATTGATGATAGACCTGACGAGGTTGGCTGCAAGGGATTGAGCTCAGTTGAACCATCCGAAAGGAAGCTCAAACGAAAACATTTTGTGGGTGAGATATTGCTCGAGCATGGTGTTGGTAGGAAGGGTGTTCGCAAGAGTTATCATCTAGGGTATGGAGGAGAGGATGTGGATCCTGTAACTGTAAGTTTGTCAAATAAATTCAAACCAAGCAAATACGATCATGAGAAAATGAGGGTATCGAGTAAGATGGCCAATTATCAGTCGTCCTCTGAAAAATTCATACCGAATCGCTCAAACAATCACCATATGTCTGGCACTAGATACATAAAGAAGTGGTTGGGACCACGTCCACAAAAGCTTCATGTTACGCAACATACAGTAAAGAAATACAAACCTTCATTGGAGAAGAGGTTAGGACATGCTCCAAAGAGAATCATGCTAGATTCCCATGGCAGAAAAAGTTAAGTTCCAAAAAATTTCCAAGTGTCCAAGATAATTCAGATGGAAGTCCTGATGATGTAGTGAGTGACCACATAGCAGATCACGTTCTTCTTGAAAAGCCTGAACCACCTGAAAAGTCTGATGAGTTCAAGCAGTCGGTGCAGAGTGCGTTTTCAACTCAAACAAACGAGTGAAATGCTAAGAAAAAGGAAGATGTGCATGGAACAATTAAAAACTTGATAGATTAAAGTGCCTCGGATGTGAAAGGTCTGTGTTCTATATCATGAAGCATATTCTAATCCCTCTTTTTGCGTTGAACTTATTATTTCTTGTTGTGCTACAATCAAGCTTCTGTTACTGATCTCATGCCCTTGCTTCGAGGAACCACCCATTCAATCTATCCGTCAGAATATATTGGTATATCCTGCATTTCATGAAGTTTTGCAGTTGTGGATGCAAACCATGGGGAAAGTATTGGAAAATTAAAATTTTGAATAATATCCCTTGATGGTGAGAGTCTTAAGTTCAATAGTTTGAACTTCCTGAATTCTGTTGCTGGAGAATTTATGGTAACTAAACTAATAATGTAAGCTTTTTGCAACCTGGCTCACCTAGTCTATTTGCTGCATTCTGATCTATACTTTGTCTTTTGGGTTATCAATCAAAGGATACCTATCGGTGTTTAAGGCTGTTCTTTACTTCAGAGTGATATATTACATTAATAAGAAGTAGAAATTTCATGAATACATTTGATCAAATGTTGGGAAGAGGTGAAGTAACAAGGAACGGAAATAGAAATCTTTTAACTTTTTCTGATTGATGATTGGGATAAAGGAATGTCAGAAAATGAATGTTATGTGCCATGGTTATTGATTGGGTGACGACAATTTGGTTTTGGTGAGGAGGAATGGAAGGTATTTTTCAGCGAACAGTGTGGAGAGGAAAAGCATAAAAGATCTGCCATTTCCAATGTCATTTTTTTTCCCGAAAATAAATAATGAAATATACAGTAGGACAAGCCTAGGATAGCTGTATGCAAAGTAAATGGTCCTATTGAGTAGTATTTTGTTCCCTCTACATTGGTTTACTGTACATTAAAATCGCATGGTTTACCTGAGTTAGTATGTGGTCATGACATGAACTTCAATTCAAAGGAATCTCACTCGGAGCTAACATAAAATTCTAAATCTTTATTATATAATTAATTGGTATATGAACTTTGGGATCAGAGTGATTACGAGTCTTATAGACTCATTAATTTAAAATGCATGTAGTTGGAAGAAATAGCATGTAAATAGTGTTGATATTATCCTGGTCAGTTTAGAGGACATCAGTTAGGTAATTTTGATGTTCTGTTTGTTCAGTACCGTTTATGAGTAACATTAGGTATTTGGAATGGCACAAGTATATTCATTCCTGTCCTAACCGAGGTGAGAAACTTTCTGATGATGCATCCTTTTTGCTGAACGGTCTCTCTGACAAAACTTTAATCGAGTTGGAAATATCTACACTTCTTGATTTCCTGCCTGACTCTAGTCTCTTCTACTCTTCTCTTCCTTTCATGCGGATAGTTCCCCCCCTGTTGGAATTATCTTCTTGCAGATGAGCTTTATTATCAAATATAGTAGCATCAATAGTTGTATCCTTGTTCTATATATTAAGTGTCTTAATATTTGGATATTTTCCTGCCTGGATTAGTCTCTTCTTCCCTTTTCTTTGTTTCATGCGGATAGTTTTCCTCCTGTTGGTAGATATTTCTTGCTATAGATAAATTTATTTATTGAATAAAGTAACTTCAATAGTAGTATCCTTGTTCTATATATTAGTTTTTGTGTCATCCAGTAAGCATAACATAATTTTTGGATATTTTCCTCTAACTACCAAGGATGCTACTACTGAAACAAACTAAATTATTTACAAATCATTGTTATCTGTCTTTTTCTGAAAAATGTGGTCCTTTTTCTCCAGCAAGCTATTACAATAAGTTCCTTCTGAGTTGACATGAATTGGTTGTTTTTGCTGGATGTTATTTCAGCAACTCAGACAAGTTTGTAGGCACAGAAAGTTTGGCAACGAATGCCTTCACATCCACTAAGGTTGGCTTCAGGTCGCAACACTTGGGATTGCGCAATGCACTTTGCTTACTGATGGGATGGAAAAGTAAGTGGATTTGTGAGGTAATTTCTGATGCTGAAACTTCATCCATAAAAAGAAGACCTCATTATCTGGCCACCAGTTGTGATCATTCATAACAGTACTATAGGAAAGAAAAATCCTGATGAGCAGGTTATTCTATCCACTGAAGTTCTAGAGTAGAGTCCAAGCTTTGAGGTAAATTTCTTTTATCTTTGACTATCTCTTTTCTTCACTATGTTTGCTCATCTTTACTTTCAGTTTGAAATTATATACAGTATGTGACTTCCATTTTTCCCCACCTCCCTCAACCTAAACATTACAATGAAGTTTCAGATTAATTGTTGTTGACCAGCATCTAGTCAGTACAGCAGGAGTGTGCAACTGTGTTATAGTATATGTATTTACACAATTGTCCATGGTTTACTCTCATCTCATGGTTATTGCACCCACCTCAAGATGATTCAAGAGTTTAATATTCACTTCAGTTCTTTATCTTGTTTCCATGTTAGAGTATCGAAACATGAAAAATTAATTTCTTGATGGAAAGGTCTCAATGCTTGTAGAATATAAAATATGCAGTATACCCCTTTGTCATATAATGCTAAATCCTAGTGTTTTTTGAGTTATAACTTCCTCTGCATGCTAAAATTCAAGAATGTGTACATGTTTATTTATCTGTAGCAGTATGTATTATAAATGTTAATGGTTATTAAATTCATCTTGGACAAATATATATTTAAAGATCGTCCTTCAACAATGGTACCCTACATTTACAATTTTCAAATATCAGTATATCCTTGCTTTGGCAGTCAAGAGCCTTGCTTTGTTCATAATGAACTATATACATCTTGATAAAAATAATATATGATAATTTATTTTAATGATGGAATGCATAAAACTTAGCCTTTAAACTGACTGTTTTTTATAATACACATGGGTATAATGATATGCCATTTAAGTTCTTATTTTAAATTTTGAGCCCAGTGGTTGAAGGCCCTTGGTAAGGGTCCGTTTGGCACAACTGTTGTGAGTAAAGCTTTTAGCAGTAGAGCTTTTATTAAAAAATTGTTGCCCATTTGCTTGTGATCCAAAAGGTGTTGTGATTATTAATTGACGGTCGTATTACATGTATATAATATGTTTACATACATAATGGTTAATATAATAGGTTTACATACATAGGATGTGATGAGATATGATTTGGTCAGAATTTCTTCAACCAAATAAAAAAAAAAACTTCCTCTCTCTCTTTTGACACCTCATCTGTATATAAATCATTATGTAACTGGTTATGTACAAGTAGCATTATTCATTAATTGATTGTTTTGCCGTATAACCATAAAAGTGATTTTATATAAACTTTGCATTTACTTAATTGGGTTAGTAGTTAGAATTTTTTTTATATATTAATTTTAAAGTTTCATTAAACGTAAATTACAGCTTCACGTAAATATCTCATTTAGAGCTTTTTTAGAGAAGCTCAAATTATAGGCCTTTTTAAAATAACTTTTTAAGCTTTGGTCAAAAAGTAAGTTAACTTTAGCTAAACCATCAATATTTTAAACAAAAGAGCTTTTAACCTGAGGAAGTGTTTTTAGGCTTTGAAAAAGCCCTTCCAAACACACACTAAGGGCCGTTTGTCGTGACTTTTGCTTTTGCTTCCTGTAGAAGAGAATGAAAGGAGTATCATAATTTTTGTGAGGAAATTAATTTTTAAAAATTGATCATATTTCAGAAATGCTTTTAGAGGAAGCGACGTTGGACCAACTTCCTCTAAAAGCTCTTCTAACTAAGAGAAGTATTTTGATAAAGTTAGCCAAACAGGTTCAAAGTAGTTTTTGGGTTTCTAGAACTCCTGTTGGCGGATTAAAAGTAATGCCAAACGGGCTCTAAGCTCCATTTTGGCAGAGATTAAAATCAAACTTTTAGTAAATTTTGATAAAAGTCATTGAAATTTATGGTTGAAAGTTGTGACTTCCATGAAATATGTGATTAAAATTAATTGTTGATTTTGACTTATATTAAAATATAGATTTTAATCCCTACCACTAAGACCTATAATGTCAGCTTCTGCTTATTGTTGTCATTTCTATTCATCACTTTTGAACTTTCTTTTTTGTAAAACGAAAGAAGTGGGAGGTGGTGTATGCTGAACACTGCTAATATGTGAGTCTGTTCAACTGGAGAATGCTTGGTTGCTTTTGATATTCTGTTTTTGACTTTCTTCGTTTGCTTTCTCATTCTCTACTGAATGAAAGTTTTATTTTTCTTGTAGATATGGGGTTTGGGAACACGAATAAGGTCCGCATAATTTGATGTTGGCAAAGTTCAATGCCACACTTTCTGGGTTACAAGAGGCGGAGAGATTGCATAAAAATTATCTCGAGACTAAGCATGGGAGGATTGAATTCCTGCAATTTATGTCTAGTGACAGGAAATTTTAGTGAAGAAATAACAGTTCCGGCGAAGAAGGAAGAAAGGGACTTTTAGAGGACTTCGATAAACTTGACTTTAACACCAAGAAACGATGTCTGGTGAGCAGCAAGAGGGAGATTCAGTGCATTCCAGATGCTCCTTTAAATACGAAGGGAGAGCGTAAATGCTCATAGGATTAAATGTTGATCAAGTACTACTGATGGTTAGTTTTTGCTTTTGTCCAGTCGCAGTAAAATTTGTGTTCCTGATAATGTTATGAATTGGCACAATCACTATATTATCTTCAGCTTATATAACAAGCATCATTTACAAGAATGAAGAATACCGATGCCCAAAGAAAAATGTGATTCATGAAAATGAACTGAAACTTTGTCATACTACTCTCTTAAGAATTGAATCTAGATGAAGTTATGACCGTGTATCTTATAAAAAGATGTGAAGAAAAAGTCTATAATAAACTTTTCAGAAGTATTTTATTTCCTTGTATGATACAGAAGCATTCTACAATTCACTGAGATAAAAAGAATAATCATACATGGATTGAATAAGAAATCAAACCAGACAAAACTACAGTTGTACCAAGAGCAATTCAAGAAAAAAAGGATAATTATACATAGATTGAATAAGAATCAAACCAGACGGAACTACAGTTGTACCAAATGGAATTCAACAAAAAAAGGAGAAGTAAACAGTTGCCATTTCTCCAATTTGCTGAGCTACACCTACAACACAGTTGATATACACTCAAACTATATGTATAAATCTAAATATCTTAAAAAATAATTTATCTCCTTTGGAAGTTAAGAAACTTGATGCCATAGGCAAACACAAAGAAGAAGAGAAGCACCCAACCAACATGGGCAAAAACAATTGGTATAAGGAAGTCGTGGTCATAACCCAAGTAGTCTTTAAGGAAATCATTAATCCTTACTCTACCAGTGTTGCCAGTGAGTTCAAGTTCGCCCGTCTGATCGCCGATCTGAGATACAAAAATACCATAGATTGTCCAGGCAACAGGAGAAGCCCAGTAGTACCACCTCCACCAGATTGGGATAAGCTGCAAGAATTTGTGCACCAGTTTAGTTGTAAATTATTGAAATAGTGAGTAAAGTTATAATTTGAAAGGTTGTTTCGTGTGGTGGAAATAGTAATACATACTGGACGGGGAATGAGGAAACCAGAGAACAAGTTCCAGAAACTGAGGAAGAACGACATGACAATGGCAGCAATTTGGAAGCCTGGTGTCAATGCGACAACCATCATACCGTACATTGAGAAGTAGGTAAAGCACATGAATATGAAGTAGTAGAAATAGAAGAACTTCTCTCCTGTCCAGTGGAATCCAATCATGGAGTACAGAAGTAGAGAGTAAGCAAAGGTCTGGATTGCAACATAGATAGTCTCTATAGCCACCTATAAACAGGGAAAATGCATATAATTAAAATTGCTGGTTATGTGATAAGATTGCTGATTATGTACAAATTAACTTTAAAAACCTGAACTGAAAATTTCCATTTCATACCTGAGCAAACGCATAGGGCAACTCTGAGTACATTCCTGCGGCTCTTTCACGGTAGAAAACTGTTCTCTCAATTGCTACTACGGATTGAACTGCTGAAGCGTTGGTGGCTCCCAAGAAAAGAACAGCAGCATAAGTAGCTCCCAACAGATTGATCAAGTCTTGTTGTCTATTTCTGTTGGAAGAACACATAGAGTTAGAGTTGAGCTTTTTGTTAGGTAATGTCATTTATGATTATAACAGCAGTTTAAAGATATTTAGACTGATTACTTTCTTTAGAATTAAATGACTAAGCAAGCTTCAAACAAGGAAATGTTGGACTTACATTTGATCTCCCTTCTGCCAAAATATAACGCCGAATAGAATTCCTATGACAACTGTTGTGAAAAACCTGATTGCATTGTATTGTGAGTTCCTCCAGTATGACCAATGTTGTTTCCAGAAGCAAGCCTTGCATTGAATTAAGAAGGGTTGGGAGTATTGTGTAGGGAAGTAGAGATCCTTTGAGCCTGGTGTTGGAGTGTTAAGTTCCTTTATTAAATCCTGGTTCCTCCTGAAATTGGAAAATTAAGGAAATGATCAACAACCTTAGTCCAAGACTTCTGAGCTAATGACTTGTTTGGTAAGGTGGATTGTAAAATACTGGACAGTAATAAGAAAAATTATTCGATTATGTCTAATACTGTATACCATGTTGTAGGGGTACTGTGTCGTCTAACACTCACCTGTAAAGATCTGAGTTGGCATAAATTTCTGCAAAATCAATGTCGAGTTGAGCCTCGGCAGCACTAGAACTGACGTCTAACATCCAAGTTGCTGGATTGTAGCCCTCTTTGATCTTGGGAACTCCTGGTACAGCCTGCATGATTAAGTAGAAGAAAGCCATATATCAGCTTCTTATTGGTCAAATGACCATTGAAAAGAGGATGTTTTTTTACCATCTCAAGGATGATAAAATTTTATTAGCTTGTGACTGAAGCTGACTTCATAGAACAGCAAAAACTCTTACAAGAGAGAAAACCTCACCTCGAAATATTCGACAAGCTTATGTGATTGGCGACCAAGAGGGCCGGCATAAATCACTTGTCCTCCTCTCTTCATCAACAGTAGCTGCAAGGAGAAGTCAATGTACGCGTGTCAAACAAAATGCAGCTATACAAGGGTTGAGGATTTAACTACAAGTGAAACTATACCTCGTCAAAAGCTTCAAATATGTCAATGCTAGGCTGGTGGATCGTGCAGACCACTGTTCGTCCTGTATCCACCGTGTTTCTCACTGTACGCATGACAATTGCAGCAGCTCTAGCATCAAGTCCGGAGGTGGGCTCATCCATAAAGATAATGGAAGGATTGGCAACTAATTCTACAGCAATAGTGAGCCTCTTTCTCTGTTCAGTTGAAAGACCATCCACTCCTGGAAGTCCAACAAGGGCATTTCTCAAGGAATTAAGCTCAACTAAATCCATTACCTCCTCAACAAACATCTGAAATGAGAAAAACTCTGTCAGACAACAATGCTTATGTATGATTTCTATGATATACCATATGGTTCTCAGACAAGGTTTCACAGTCACATGCCTTGCGTGTTTCTGTCTTCACATCAGCAGCAAGGCGTAGCCAGGCTGAGTAAAGGAGTGACTCGTATACAGTGACATAAGGTGAATGGATATCGTTCTGTTCACAGTAACCGCTGACTCGTGCAAATGTTTTTTGGTTCTTTGGGAAACCTGAAATACTTATGCTTCCTTCAATATACCCTCCAGTCTTTCTACCGGCCAAGACATCCATCAAGGTGGTCTTTCCGGCTCCACTCACACCAACCAAAGCTGTCAGAACGCCTGGCCTGAAAGCACCACTAACATCTCGTAACAGTTGCAGTCTCTCATCGGTAACCCCTTGAGTCTTCATTTCCTGATATAAAACAATTTCACAAGTCAGAAAATTTGTTAAGGGATGGAGCATATACACTATGGATAGAGGTTTGGAGTGGGAGACTCACAGCAGGCATATCAACGTAGTAATTCACATGGTTGAATGCAAGTGAGAGGGGCTCAAAAGGCAGAACCATCCCTTTTCTTGTTTCATTGTTTTCCGTTTCAACATTTCCGCGGGGATTCCTCACTCCCATTTGAACACCTGTAGTTATCATTATACATCAGATGAATGTAGGTATAATGAAAATACGTCTTTAATGTCTCCGAGAAACAGCTCTAAGGATGTTATAATGTTTAATTGATTGCAAATGCAACAACAATTGAAGACATTTAAGAATGCCCTGTTTAGTTAAGAATTTTAGTTCTCATGATCAAGCAATTATGTCTTACTGCCTTCCACAAGGTCAGAAAAGACTACTTCAATAGAAACAACAGTTTAAGAAACCACATGCCTTCGGCACTTGATGTCAATTGCCTTTTATTCTTATTTTCTTCTTCTCCATCCTCTCTTATGACAGCTTTATTATCCCCCAGAGCTGAGATTGAGTTCAAAAGGACCCAGTTAAGAGATGGACTTTTTATAATTTGTACTGCAGCATAAAATTCAAAAAAGCTAGTACGAATTTTTTACTCACGATTTAAGAATGTCAATGCAGCGATGAAGAGAACGTTGAAAAGAAGAGAGAATCCAAAAAGAGCTAAAATGCAAATCCAGTACCATGACTCCGTTGTAAATAAACCTCTATCTCGAAGAAGAGTCTTTCCAACTGTGTTTTCACGTCCTTCTGTGGGCTGTGTAAGGTAAGTAGAAAAACCAACATTAATAGTATTGCTTATAAACTGTAATGTGGAGATGAGGTTCAAGAGATCTTACTGCGCTCCATCTTTCAGAAAGAAACTCGTTGATGGCAATGGCATTTTGTCCATACATCATAGGAGAAACATAGTATCCCCATATCATCCAATCTTGAATATCATCTGTGAAATGCAGATTGAAAAAATTGATGAAGTTTTTGCAACAGGAGTATAAAATGAAGGAATTCCTTACTGAATAAAACTATGTAAATCATGTCTGGCTAAGCCTAAAATAGGTAAAAGCACTTGTTTGGAAAGTAAGTGAAGACTTGCTTTCACAAAAGTAAACTTTTAAGCTAAAAAAATCCTCCTCCCTAAAAAGTAACTTCAGAAAATCATAAACATGTTTAGCAAAAAAAAGTTACTTAACATAGTGAATAAAAGAATGAAGTACGGACCTTTGGCTACAACGAAGCCTCCAAGTACAAACACCATCAGCAAGGTGAAAGTTCCCAGTGTGTTTGCAACCACTTGAGTTCTACCAAGTGCTGCAATGAAACGGAACAAAGAAAGCGCCATCTGATGTATTCCAATAAATGCCAACAACTGTTTGAAAAACCTGCACAAGTATGTAGATAATCCATCAATAAAAGAGAACCACGATAAAGATTTCATAAAATTTGGTGGTTTTCAAACTTACCTCGCAGGAGCAGGTGCAAAGCCAATGGTGTAATACGTAAACACGATCCATAATGTAGACTCCATCACTGAAATGGGAATACGAAGGACCCAAATCGGCAAAGCAAAAGCCCAAGCAGGATAGAACAAGCAATCCCTCTGTTTAAAAAACACAGGAAGCCTGAAAACTGTCATTGCCAACTCCTGCATTCCATTGAACATCACATTGATGAGACTGAAGAACAATGCACCCCAAAATTTAGCAGAAGTTTCTATTTGACCAGCTTTCATTTCAGTTCTCAAGAAAACTGTCAATGCAATTGTTGCCATTATTGTTATCTGTGTTGTCTTGAAGATGTACACGAACGAAGCTCGTTTCATCAGGAGCCATTCCCTCGCAAAGCAAGCCCTGAAGAGTTCCCAATTTGAGATACCATATTTCTCTTTCACCAAGGCAGCCGGATGGGTTCTTGACTTATCATATGGAATTCTAAGTTCTTGCACTATTTCTTGCCCAATGTGTGAAGAATTGAAAGCCTCTGCAAATTCAGGAACAGATACATATCGATAAGGTTGGTTCCTTTTGCACCAATACTGTTCTTGGTCCTTCTTTGAAGTCACTTCTTGTAGAAAGTCTGCAACTCCCTTCCTTTGTGGACATCTAAATCCCATGTATTCGAAAAATTCAAGAATGTCTTCACGCGGACCCTGATAAACAATCTCACCATCTGAAAGTAGGATAACATCATCAAATAGTTCAAAAGTCTCCGGAGCAGGCTGTAGGAGAGAGATGATCATAGTGATATCATTAATATGAACCATCTGTCTCATAAACTTCACAATTTGGAAAGTTGTGGAACTATCCAGCCCAGTTGATATCTCATCCATGAAGAATGCTTTTGCTGGTCCTACCAACATTTCCCCTGTATCCAATAGAACCTTGAGATTGTTAACATCTCTAAGAAAATATAAATTGTATTGTTCTAACTATATGTTAAGAACTCATTGTGGAACCACATACCGGTAGTGACACGCTTCTTTTGTCCACCTGAAATTCCCCTTCTCATATCATCTCCCACCATAATATCAGCACAAATATCCAATCCAAGAATCTGTTATAAAATCATGATAGGTTAGGCTTGCCCAAGAAGGCTTAAAGATAAATATTTGCTTGTAGATATCTATTAACCGTACGGACCTTGAGCACATAATCGGTGATCAGACTAGTTTCCTGTCCTGCCATAGCTGTGGCTTTCATAAACGCATCAATCTCGGGATCAGGTTTAATACCTGCTTCTTTCTCTCGTCTCGACAATTCTAGCAGCATTTCGTACCTGGTTCCGACACCCAGGCATCTACCGGAGAAATCTAACGTCTCACGAACTGTCATTTCACCATAGTGAAGATCATGCTGGCTAATATAAGCACAGGTTCTTTGCGGAACAAATTCATGAAATTCATGGCCACAATAGGTGATTTTCCCAGTCACCTGTTCACAAACTCAGGATCAGTTATAAAAATGCAACAAAGCAAAAACGAAATCATCTTTGAATTCCACAGACACAAGGGAAAAGTGCACGAAAATGAAACTATACAAGAAGCTAAAAGTATTTTCCATCCTTTCAAGTTTCTCTTTGGTCTTTGCTTTTTCCATATTAGGGGTAAATTGGATTTGGAAATTACTCGGAAGTATTATGAAAGGAAAAAAAGTTAAAATCTTGTCCATTGCATTATTTAGTCCTCTCTACTATAGCATATTAAATAAGACATATAGTATCATACCTTCATATCATCATCAGGTTTTCCTGCTAGTGCTTTTAGCAACGTTGTTTTGCCTGAGCCTGGTGGCCCGAGAAGCAAGGTCATCCTGCAAAAAGATTATCAGTATATTTATGTAAAAGGGTATGAATACGGATATTTTGAGACTTATTTCTCCTACAATCTCGATTAAACAAGATCTATAGGATTTTAAATGTATACCTTGATGGTTTTATAATTCCACTCACATCCTTAAGTATTTGAACCACCCTCTTCTTTGATGGAGAAAGCCCAATCATCCCTACAGCAGCCTAAAAAAAAAGAAAGAAAAATTGAGATCAATGAATAATTTCAGTTCAGACATTGAAAATTCAAAGAAAGATCATATGCAATTCAAAAAATACCTCAAGAGTATTCAGGGTTGAGTTGAGCAGAGTAGGCAGTGCCCTCGTTCCAACATATGCATCTCCCTCTATAGATAAGTTCTGGAATCTCACTTCAATTTTTGGAATTTCAATTCCCACCCTGTACAAAAATCAACTTTCATAATCAGATCATGTTCAAATTTGAGCCAATCAAGTATCCAAATTGTATTGATCATCAAAATTTACCTATCAGTCCTATTTCTCAGCCTCTGAAGGAATTTCTCATTATCATCCTCAACAACTTTAAGAATGCTCTCCATTAGCTGCTTCTTATCCTGTGCACCAAGATTGGCGACATCGACCTCAGCATGTACTATCCTCCCATTGCTCATAACCTGCTGCAGCATCCCTTTTCTCATCCGGTCGTAAGTCGGGAGCCGCTCGATGGCTGCCCACTTGAGCTCCGTCTCATCATCCACCTCTTGCCGCCGTGTACTGTTCCTTGTGAACACATCCGGTGGCACTTGCCACACTTCCCTTATACTCTGTGACCTCCAGCTTGTCTTACTACTCGACGTCCGAGATAGATCATCTCCGGCCAATGCAGCCGCCATTTTTAAGCTTCTTTCTCCTTTTCAACAACAAATATATCAGAATCCAAGTATACTAGTAAAAGTAGGAGTACAAAGAAATATCTGAATTAAGATAGTTGAAAAGAAATGAAAGAATGGATGTAATGGTATCAATATTTGGTTGCATGCAGTTTCTCTATCCTTTTTTTTTTTTTTCTGTGAGAATCAGAAACTGGGCGACTACAAATCTTATCTTGGGAGAATATTATCTACTTATATATATATCTATTATATTACTAGATATTTGGTTGGGAGTGCGGGTGGGGTGGGGTGGGGTGGGTCGTGGGGGTTTGGTGTGTAACAACGGGTTGGTGGTCTTAAAATATTTATTATGGTCAAAGTTAGGCTACAAACAGAGGTTCCCACGTTTACAGAATTGTAGAGGTTGAAAGATTCACGTAGAGGAGGGATCGGGTGATACGGTGTATAGTGATGGTTTGATCATGACCGTTAATAGGTGCTGATTGTAGATCCTCTGCGATTAATTGAAAGGAAGAATTCTTCCCGTGGTCCTCCACCTTCCTTAAGTGTGACAATTATATCTTCAACTTTTCGTTTGTGCACCCACATCCCTACCCTTTTAACACTATGCTTGCGGTAATGCTTCTTGAGGTAACTCATGTGTGAAGTTTGACTAAAAAGTAAAATTGTCCAAAAAATATTTTCTCCCAATTTGAATACCACTGGCAGCTTCAACTCACTGTGGAAAGCTCCTCGCTACACGAGTCGCATCATAGCATTTGTTCAGTTGGGTCGCCAAGGCAGCGGTGTTTCTCGATGGACTTCCTTGATTTTATTGTATCTATGTGAATTTCCTTTATCTCTTCTACCTTTTATCAAGACTGGATGGTGTCTTGTGTTAGCTTAGTATTCAAATTGAAGGGGGCGTCTTTTTTGAAAAAAAAATGACCTTTTAAAATAAATATTATGTACATGTTGTATGATCATTTAACTTCTAAACAATTTTTTTGTCGGGATGGGATGGGACATGACATAGCTCGTAGAATGTTAAAATATTGGAAACATGGGTGGACAAACGGAAGCTTGGGGACCTAGGTGCTATTCTCAAGTAAAATTAGAAACCCATCATGGAATTTACCCTAATTGAAAAGGATGTTTATGACTTGTAGCGCAACCAATTGGACAATGGCCTGTGCCAAATTGGTTGTATTTTGTTGACCAGTTGACAGAAGCTTCTGACGTTGTTAATATCACGCCAGCTTCTTGCGCGTGGGCCACTTTCACATGCACTTTTGGAAAATTAGTCAACACTTCTAATTTTTGTTCACATCCTAATTTAAAAAAAATAAAAAATCGTATATTTATTTTTTGACTTTTAATAATGATGTTCTAGTTTATGGATAGAGTCTGAAATATTGATGTGGGACAAAGTCGTATGTACAAAAAACTGGAATATGTTATCGTACTTATCAAAGTTATATTCCAAATTGATGGGGTGTTGTTTTCCTGATACTAAATAAGGTCATGTTTGTTTCGAATTAAAATTAAATTTTAATTTAAGTCAAAATCAAACAATCAATATTAACCACAAGTTTATGGATCCCACAACTTTTTAACCATACATTTCAAAAACTTCTAACATGATCTACTAAAAATCTAATTTTAATCTCCACCAAACACCAACTAAATATCTGAATTCTAGTAGTTATCGACGTTATGAAAAACGTACAAAATTGATTAATTAGATAGAAAAATTAGATCATCAATAATAACTACTTACGATTACATTCGAAGTGCAAATGTCTCGTTCTTTATTTATTCAATTGTGTAT